TGATGGTGGGTTTTGTTTGTGGGATAGAAGTGGCTAGGGTTGTTGTATAATTATTCTCATACATGACTCTGATATATTACCTGAACAAAAGCAACACTGAATAGGAATATACTCAATCCCACCCAATCACACCCCTCACCCTCCCCACATCTCCCCCACCACCCCTAATTGTCTATCCACCTTTCTGGAACAAAACTCCGTCCACTCCCACACCCTAAACGCCTCCAACGAGGCACTCATCTCCTTCCATTCCTCTGGTGGCGGGTACGGCGACTTATCAAAGACCAGTCGGTGGAAATACCTCGCTGCATCGTATTTTCTAGTTGCATATGTAACGTCGTGCTGGGTTATGAATGTTCCTTTATCTAATCTGACTGTGTAGGTTTTTGGACGGAAGGCTTCGTCTGTGAGTAGGGCTTCGTTGATTCGGATATGTGGTGGGATGTGAGAACCTGGGATGAGGCACTTGGTGAGGGTGAGGGTTATGGGGAAGGTGGTGGGGAGGGTTAATTGGGTAGTGCTGGTGTTGGTGGTTTGCTGGGAAAGGGTCCAGGTGAATTGGGCCATGATCCAGGTTTGGGTTTCGTAGCGGCAGAGGAGCTTAGCAGCGGGTTAGTTTGTGGGGTGATTGGGAATGGGATTGCTTACGTCGCCGGTTCCGTCGGGGTGGAATTTGATTTCGTTGCTATGGAAGGGGTCCCAGAACCAGGATTCTTGGGTTAGGATGGAGGGGAGGGGGTCGGTCATTGTGTATGTTAGAATGGGGATGGGTTTGCCAGTTGGTTGGATTTGGAACAGGGGCACGTGATCTTGGATGGGGGATGAACACTGGCAATGCAATTACACAGACGAGTACAGAGTAACCCGAAAGAATGAAATTCAGTTGGTTTTGTAGAGTTGGTGGGGGCTGTGAATGATTAAGGCTGAGGCTAGCGTGGCTATTTCAGGGTGCTGGGGCGCAGACAGTTGCCCCACTGAAAGCTTGGTGTGGATTGACACATCATTGGAATTGTAGGTCCATTCACATGGCTAGGGTAGGTTGCGATCATTGTATTGAGCTGGGTTATCCTTTCTGCTAAGGACAGAGGACCCAAAGAACGGATAAGTACAGCCATGTTACGCTAACGAAAAAACTCTGGTTATCTTGATCTCACCTAAGGTGGATTGGGTCGAATATTGCTTGGATCGTGATATAAGAGGAAACCATTTTCTCCAAGAAGAAAATAACATCAGTATAGTGACCAATGTAATGGAAGGAGTGAGGAAATCGAAGCTTCAACTTAGGCATCTTAGATGCAGACAGGTCTTCGTAAAACATTGACATGTCTAGCTTGGCAAGCAGTCAAGTGAGGCCGGTTATCAGAAACCTCCAACCAACCGAGTCAATTACAATCAGTTTATAGTCAGTTTATATACACTCCGGGTTCAACCCACAGTTCGGGTTGAGTTGGGTTGTTTGAGTAATGTTACAACCCGCCGGGTAACCCATCGAGGGTTGAACCTCCAACCCAACCCAACCCGACCCAACAAGGTTGAACTGGACATCATGAAAGGAACCATCCCGACCGAGCTTGCAAGATCCTCAAGCAGAACAATAATCCGCTATTATCATTATACAGAAAATACCGAGCCCCGAACTAAATTCCGACAAAAAGAAGAAACGAAAAGAAAGTAAAAATGCTTCTAAGACGGATATTCCATACTCCGGATTCCATGTGGCCCAAATTCATCCTCATCACCAACCAAACTCACCTCCTATCCTGCAATTTTAACCCCCACCACCCCCCCAGGACATTCAAGGTGATCTTTGTCTGTATTTCTCTCCTCCTTACCATGGCTTTCTCCCTCGCTGCATCCGTCCCAGATAAGATAGTTGGTGGGAGTATGATTCGGTGGGATTCAACTGCAATGCATACAATCAGTGTTCACAAGGCCCAATATATCACTATCATAGCGATAATAAGGGATCAGCATCTCCGACACACAATACAAAGTAAATATATCCTACAACGATATCATTTGCCCATGCCAACGGGCAAAAAAAAGAACGGTTAACAACACAGAGAAAACGGAGCCCCACACTATCCGAGCAATGGATATATGGAAGGTAAGGAAAAAAAAAAAACAAAAAATGGAGCTGCGGGGAATCGAACCCCGGACCTCTCCCATGCTAAGGGAATATTATACCACTAAACCACAGCCCCATTTGATGAAATACCGGCCTCTTATTTAGCATGATGAGCTGAGAATAATGGCACTATGCTTCACTTGAGAAGCCTGTTGGATTGTCGGTTTTGTGGATTATATGGCTGGTTACCTTTTGTAGATGGTTCATGGGAAGTTCATTAGTGATGGGTATTGTTGTCTGAAATCGATATGCCTACATAGTGGCCCGGGGGGTTAGCGGTTACTCCTATTTAACTGGTTGTCAAACCCTAGGATCGCTTCTCCCTGTTCCTGTTAGCTTAGCTTCCGTTCCAATACGTACCTGTGAACTGAATCAAGGTAAGTTAGGTCAATGACTATCTAAAGAGACTGGTCCTAAACAGAAGAAGAGAAGTAAGGCCAGATAGTGCCGCGCAGCTATCCGTAAGTAAGTACAGACAAGTATTATCGCTAAGCTTTACCAAAACGTATGGTTACTTAAAGACAGTGTTATTAAGCACGAAGAACAGAACTAGCTAAGTATATGAAAAAGTGTTCTTATATCCTATCCTTCGTATACCATTCCGTATACCATTCAGGGTAGATCAAGGGTCGATCTAATCACGTTCCTGGATTCCGTATACCATATCATATATCCTCGATGGTAGATCTGATGGTAGATAGTCACGTGACACAGCGCTGCCTCGGACGTTACTCCGACCGGGTTTCTACTCAATAAGAGTTGCTGGTTGCCCGAGTCCTGCCTGGTCATTGCTTTCTGCCTGACGAGTCCGCTCCTGCTAGTAACCTAGCTAGCAGGGGTCTGTAACACTGGTATCATACTATTATAAAAGGCGGTAAACTATTATTTAAGTTTTTAATAGTTTATTATAGTTGTAATAGTCTCACTGTTACAGTTTTCTACTATTAAATTCAGTTTATAATAAATAATGATCATTTAATCTAAGTATATATAAGTATCTAACTCTTAATATATATATGTTACGGACCCCTGCTAGCTGAACAACTAGTAAGGCGGGTATGTCAGGCAGAAGGCCACATCCGGACGGAAGGGGGCTCTTATCGAGGAGGATCCTGACCCGAACCGTCAGGCAGCACGGATCACGTGACCACGGTATACGGACAGGCATGTGGTATACAACATACCATCATAGTCTATAACTACCAAGTGGGTATATGACAGACCCGATGGTATATAGTATGGTATACGGGGAACAGATATATAAGGACACTTCTTTATATACTTAGCTAGTTCTGTTCTTCATGCTTAATTCAAATTATCTTTAAATAATCTACATTTTGGTAGAGCTTAGTAACAACACTCGTCCGTACTTACTTACGGATAGCTGCGCGGCACTATCTGGCCTTACTTCTCTTCTTCTATTCAGATCAAGTTATCTTTAGATAGTTAATAACCTGATTATCTTTGATTTAATTCACAAGGTACGTATCGGAACGGGAGTTAAGCTAACAGAAACAGGGAGAAGCGATCCTAGGGTTTGACATATTGAGTACTAGTTAGTATGAGTGTTATCTAGTGATAATTAGTCATTATATTAACTACATCGAACACATCGCGTGCGCCTTAGCAACAGGGCCTGACAACCAAGGAACTAATGAACATGGTTAGTTAGCTATAAGAAAGCATCACTATCTTAGAACAAAAGAACCAGTTACTTAAAGATTATTTATTAATCAAATCTGTTAAGATCTGACCACCCGAGCCATTTGATAGTAAATAAGCGAAGCTCAGAGCTTTCTTGACCTAGTTGGACTTATATTTTAACATGAATAAGAAAAAGCTTAAGAATAAGAAGAATAAGATCTTTTTTATATCTACTTATCTTACTAAAGCAGTATTTAATTAATTTGAACCATATATCTGCGAGTGATAAGAAAAGTCAGTAAATAATCAGAATAATAATATAAAATAACTTTTTATTAGTTATGCTAGATTTAAACAGTATCTTAAATAAATATTCAGAGATATTAATGCGGCATAGAATATTAAGTAGAAGTTATAATAACTTAAATAGATAGGATTAATATCTGTATATACTTCAGAGTTTCAGTAAGTTATTAATTATCTAGATTAAAATAATAATATTTATATTTTATGATTTAAAAAAGGATTTAAGATAGAGATCTAAGAAAAAATCATTTGATAAAAATAATTAGATATCTTGGTCAAGATAATTAAAGCAGTTGTAAAGATTGATAATAAGTTATATAACTTTAATATAAAATAATAAAAAGATTAGTAAACTAGCGGGTCTATACCTTAATATAATAACCAGCTAGATTACTAAGCTAATAACAGAAGATTAGCATAACCTAGAAGCTTAGGATATAAAGATCTCTATGGGCTGAAACCCATGGAGCTGGATATAATACAACATCAGACTTAAGAGACTTGAGTATTTAAGAAAAAACTTAAATAGTATAAACAAGACTACTTATACTTTAACTGCAGTAAAACAGATTATTAATTAAAGGACTACAGTCAGAAACAATCTCAGAAGCAATTGAGAGCTATAAATCAAGATCAAGACAGAGAAGCTTATAATATTACTATTATTCAGTATAAAGTTTGGATGAAATCTGTAACGTAGATATTAGATAATAAAAGGCTATATACTATTTAATATAATCAGCTATTAGAGAACAGAATATACTATGATTAGTTAAGATAACAGGCTATTTCAGATAAGTTAACAGTACTATTTAGTTAATAAGAGAATCAATAATTATTTATATCATTAATTTGGACTATAGAAGTTAATAATAATAATTATAAGCCAGTTTTAAGAAATAACTATTCTAGTATAATTTAAGATAAAGATAAATTATTAAATAAAGAATATAGTATATTACTTAAAAGTCTTAAATCTAGTAAGAAGAGATTTAATAAGATATCTAATACTCTGAAAAAACCCTTATCAGAAATTAATAAACTTTATTTATTATAATAAGATGAGAATAAGAAGAACCAGAAAAACAATTAAAAGAATATTATTTATTAGTTAGACTGTATCTTAAAGAAGATCTTGAAGAATCTAGCATAATTTTATCTAAAACTTAAAATAATTATACAGCATTGCCCATATTAAGATTTAAAATATTAAAAATTATAAAATAAGACTTGAAAACAATATCTACAGAGATGTTCTTATTATCTAGAAATTTGTTTAATATATAGACAGGATAATATAGATTATTATTATTAATTATTAAAGATTAGCCAGAAGATAAACATTGCAGGAACAGAGTCTTAATATAATAAACCATATCTATATATTTATTTTAAAGAAAGTAGAGATTATTAAAAATATGATAAATTCTTTTAGCTTATATACTATATAAACACATGCTTAATATACTATAATTAGAAGTATATTACTAATTACTGATCTAAGGTACTGGAAGTAGTTAGAATTAAGATAAGTTATTATTTATATAATATCTTTGATTACGCGTGTAAAGAGTACCAGAGATACTTTTATCATAAATTAATATATTGACTAACATGTTTTGATGATTAGTATATAATATACTACGTGGTAAAGATAAAAGGCTTAAGATTTTTAAGAAGATATTTATAGTAGTTAGAACCTAACTAGCCAGAATAGTAGTTAGTAATTACAGAATCAGGGCCATACTTAAAAATCTAAACAATTATATTAGATTAATTAGCCTAAATATTGGTAGATTCTAGAGTAACCGGGAACTTCATACACCCATAATTTATATAATAACTTAAAATACTTAGATAATAAAAAGAAAAACCTGAACTAATTACAGGACTAAATAAAGAAAATTTAGGAACTCTTGTATTAATAATTAAGTTAGAAATTATATTTATAATTATAAAGGATTATTATAAGTATATAGACTTTAATATGATATTTTTAAAACAATATAATATTATATTAAGAATTCTATAACTCAGGAATCATAACCTGCAGATTAATTAGAAGACTGAGAATCTTTAATTCATGAATTATAATTATCTAAGACAATACTAGTAAGAATCAGGTATAGAATCTAGATCTATACAGCCTGCTACTTAGCAAGAAGCTAAAGCAAGGATTAAACAATCTAGTAAAGAAAGATTAAGATTGTTATAAAAGCCTAACATACCAGGTATCAGAAATAACTTAGAGAAAAATAGTATCTTAAGTATAGTTGCACAAGTAATAGTAATAATTAAGTTATTATAGAAAGATTAGTTTATAAAATTATCAGGATAGATACTGACAATAATAAAAAAGTACTGTAAATATAGTATTAACAGCTTTAATACAGAGATTAAGATAATTGTTCAGAGACTAGAAGATTTATAGAAACTTCTAGCTATAGTTAAGAGTAATATACAGATTCTATTATAATATAAGAGATTTGAGAACTTGTTTAAATAGCTAGAGTAATCTGAATTATCTCAGCATAGAAAATATGATCATATTATTCTTATAAAGAAAGAAAAGTCACTAGTATATAGAAAGATTTATTTAATATTTAAAAAGAAATCGCAGGTATTATGAGAATATATTAATAACTAACTAGCTAAAGGTAATATCAGGCCTTCAAAGTTATTAACAAGATATAGAGTTCTATTTATATTAAAAAAGAACAGTAATTTATAATTATATATAGATTATCAGTTATTAAATATTATCATGATTAAGAATTGATATCCGTTATCTTTGATTTCAGAAATCTAAGATAAGATATAAGAAATAAAATGGTTTATTAAGCTTAATATTATAAATATATATTATTGTATATATATCACAGAAGATAAAGAATAGAAGACTATATTTAAAATAAAGTATAGATACTTTAAATACTTGATTATATTATTTAGGCTTACTAACGCACTAGCATTATTTCAGTAATATATTAATAAAGTTCTTAGAGAATATCTTGATAGATTTATAATTATTTATTTAGATAATATATTAATCTTCTTAAAGACTAAGAA